GACTAGCTACTGACTAGCCTTGTGTTCATGTGGAAGCAAGCATAAAAGCATTTTCACATGCATGAGCTAGTCATTGCACAGAACAATGTAGTTATCCAACAGACTAGTGACTGACTAGCCTTGTGTTCATGTGGAAGCAAGTATAAAAGCATTTTCACATGCATGAGCTAGTCGGTGCACAGAACAATACATGTAGTCATTCAAATTGGTCTCCATATTTTGATTCAGCCTATTGTCGACACGAGTGAAAAACAACTGCGCATATTCTGAATCCATATGCAAATTAGTCAAAACATAAGTAAATTTGACTTTCAAACATGCCTGATAAATTGGACTTCACAAAATGCCAAAACTTAGTGTCCATGCTTGGAACTTAAGGCTAATTCTTTCATATTGTGTTTGTTAATACAGTATCTTGGTCTGACAAAAGTATACTCTCAAACTTTTTTGTATACTTGGAGAAAACAAACATTTATTTTCTCACTCAAATTCTTCAAAATTCTTAGAAAACGTGCTGAAGTGCACGCATGCGCAAACATTTTTCTCTGGTGTCCCTATTGTCATGTTTTCCACTCACATTTCAGTGATTAATTTTTGTTTTCTTTTTTTAATATACAGAAGCGTGAATAGTATCCAAGATCAAAGTAAACAAAAGGCAATGCAAGCTGAGCTTTTCCAAACCCTGAAAAACCGCCAGAAGTAAAGGAAGCCCATTCACTAGCAGTCCTAGTCGTAACATAATCATAAGATAGAAAATATTTGAACAAGCATTTGCAGTTATTTCTTCCAGTGAAGAAAAATATTATTCTGCATGATAGTTCTGCAATCACACTATATTAGTTCAAATGTTTTCACTGTTTGTTTGTTTCTAGTAGGTAGTCTAAAAAATTATCGAGGGACTGTTCACAATTTATGTTTCTTTTTGGGGGGAGGGGAGGGTGGTTATGTGGATTTTGAGCTTCAAAGAAACATTTTTGTAGTCCCCCAACCACCTTACAAACATATTTACTGCCCCCCCTCCCCCCTCAGAAAAGTAAAATATAATAAATATATATTTATTTTGTTAGCCTCCCCCCTCCCCTTAATTTTGACTAAAAAAAATTGGTGGCATGCCTCAAAATCCAAAAATTCCCCACCCCCTCAACCCATATATTATGAATGGTCTCTCAACAGTTTGCATTTTCTGAAAAGTAAATACATTGGGCCGAAAAAAAATTTGGGAATCTTGGCATTTGTCTTTGGAATTTATTTTAAATTTGATCTTTCTGACTCGACTAATTCATTCACCTGATGAAAAATATGAATCACAATTTTCTGTTTCCAATATCTCTAAAAGTTACACTGAAGACAAAATAAAAATCTTACATTAATTTTTGTATCGTTACTGCAATTTTCAATATAATACAGCATGAAGTATGTTGCTGTGTACCAGTGCTTGCTGAAATTTGTTTTTCACTGATTTCGGTCCAAGATAGAAAAGGTACCATCTGATTGATTGACGGTGACGAAATACCAAATTTTAGCTTGTAGTTATGATTTCACATTATATTAAAAACTGCTATAATAGATTAGTGTTTGTGTTAGTAATTTAGTATGTTTGTGGATGTGTGCTGATTTGTTTTTATATCTGTTTTTATAATAACTGTTAATCGAGAGAGATCAGATGCATGTAGATGAAAAATAGATCAAGTTATTAATGAGAATTAAGAACAATAAAAGACGATTTGTAGATTTGTTGTTTATTTTTTCAATCAAAATTTAAAGCACCTTTTTTATATAATTGTATCCATTTTGAAGTCATTGGTGATTTCTGCAATCTGATTGGCTCTCAGCAGTGTGATTCGATCAGGAATTGCACCATTTTGAGTTTTAAATCGCACCAATGAAATTGCAGAAATATAGAATTTGGGCATGAATCAGATATCAGAAAAGAAAAGCATGAAAAAAAGGGCATTTTTTAGGTGAAAGGCATTTTTTTGATTAAACGCGTAATTATAAATTTATTATTATTATTATTGCATGAGATTTCAAAATAGATATAATTTAGTGGTAATTGAACTTTTGTGTCATGCAATTTTGGTCTGAAAACAAACTTGTGATTAACAAATTGCACTCCTGCTACGTGAACTAGCAATTTTGTAAGAACTTATTTGATTTATGTTCCCAAAAACTCCATTCCTTGGATAAAATTTAGTTCATCTCTACATCAACCATGCACCAGTGAACATAGAATCAAAATTCTAAATTCCACTCAATGTTGGAATGAGGGTGACAGGTTTGTTGGGCACTGGCATCTATTTCGTGCTACCCCCCTAAGCCAAGGCCTTTTTTTCCGTCTATAAGCCTTTTTTTTTTTTCATAGTTTAAGAATCGATTCCACTGCGCATGCGATTTTATCCCAAATTTCTCACCTTTTGTTTAATTAAGAACAAAAGAAGGTTTAGACAAAAGAAGGTGAGAAATTCGGGATAAAATCGCATGTGCAGTGGAATCGATTCTTAAACTATGAAAAGGCTTATTGTCTTCATGAAAAATCAATCTATCTTTTGTATCAATACTGACAGTTGGAAAATGCTTAGAAGCGTGTGCAATACTTAATGTCTCTGATATTAAAGAGGATAAATAAGACCAAATAAGTTACTTTTGAAGTTTTGCATTTCATCTGATATCCTGCATCTCATTAGATATTGGCATAAATGTATACTAAAACCTTTTTGCAATCAAGTATATATATATATAATTGCATATATATATATTTAGAAAACTCATTAATAATTCATGAAGAAAACACAATAGAAATCATGACCATGAAGGTGATTTTAAATCGGATAAAGATTCGTCTTCATTTGCATAAACTTTAACTTGGATTTTCTCTATCAAACTTGGTTCATTTCGTAAAAAAATCGGTACACAATGAGAACAAACATCATAAGTTTTCTAAGCCGTTTAATAATCTCGCAGATCGTGTTTTATCGGGTCTAAAACCACTCGGCTGCGCCTCGTGTTTTATACCCGATAAAACACTCCTGCTCGTTTATTAAACATTACATATATAATATCTGGGCTAATCTAAGCCATATATCAAATATCTCTAATGGTTAAAGAACTGGGTTTTGTCTAGTCAAATCTTTGCCTTGGTGGTCATTTTGACCAGTAAGATTTAGCCAGAAAATGAGGTACGAACTAATATTATTTGGCCTGTGATCATGACCAGCAAATAATTGGCTGTTATTATAAGCCCTGGCTTAACATTAAGGCTGTATTTTCTAATAAAGATCTCTGTTGACTTGACTGATTGGAATATCTCCTAGGGGAGGGATGTGAGTTTCAGTCAGTGTGAGTGATTCATCTTCGGCTAAGTATCTTGCATGTTCATCTGTAAATGAATGAATGTCAGTAAATAGATGAATGAATGAGTGAATGAATGAATAAAGAAAACAATGTGGCAATCAGTAAAAGACCACATGTCCCCTACCCAACCCCCCACAGTCCCGGCACCCTTACAATTATGTGTACAATCGAAGAGTTCCAAGGCCTATGCATATATTCCTTACTATTCAAATACGCTTCATTTATGCATACACCATTCCTTGTTACCTACCTGTAATGGTATTGATAGAACAAAGTGGTGGTGTAATCAGAAGGTTATAAGAAACATAGAAAAAGATGACAGCTAGTAAACACAGCAGTACATAGATGGGTCCAGCTAACAGCCAGTACCTGGCAGAAAATATAGAAAATATATAGATGTTAAGGCATTCTTATGGGAAGCCATTTGATACAATGCTGTACTGTTCACGTGCTGTAAGGCAGTATCCTAATTTTCCACTAATATTATAATAATGTTTGTATGGAAACAACAACCAAGGGCCTACCAGCCTTGCTATCATGTTTTTGGTACATTTCAAATGCTTATAACTCTGCAGGGATTTAATATATGACAACAGAACTCTCCAAAGTTACTAATTTAGACATGGTCTTTCTTGGGATGAAAATACTGGAAATCATTAATTGCCCTAATTCACTATGACGTCACATCAAAACAATCTTCAGCAATCTATTGTTTAAATGCAAAGGATCATGGTCGTCAAACGGGGTCAAATCAATGCAAATTCACTGAAAATTGTTCTAAAACCTGTATCAATCCACGAAGAGAAGTAGAATAGCCAGCAAATGCTCAGAATATTTTTTAGTACATATTAACATATATTATATCTGAAAACCAGGCCTTCATAGATTAAACTATTTCGCTAGGATGAAATTTTGTTGAATTTTCTATTGGATTTGGCAATTCTATCCCCCACATAAACAAGCAGTGACGTCATAGTGAATTAGGTCAATTGTTCGTGGTGCTCATTCCCAATCTTTCCCTCCTTTTTCATATGGTCTATATCCATTCTTTCATTCACCTTTGTGGCAGGTACGTAATACCAACATGATGAAGCCACTCTTCTGGCACAAATGCCCAGATCAGATACAAAACTGTGGAGTATAGAAAAAACCTGTATTGTATGTATTATATCGTATGTAGTTTAATTATTAACTAATTATTCACGTTCTCAGAAAAACCACTCTATAGAGGTTTTGCACTGCCATGTGACGGCCGCCATGTTAGATGGCAGGAGCAATACAATTGTCCTACATGAGAAAGAAATCGATTCCCAAGAGCAATTTAAGGTATTTTATTGTTCTGCCATCTAACCACATGACAGGCAGCCCAAGCAGTATTAAGGGATGGGCAAGTGATGGTGCAAAGCCTCTATATGCTTCATCAGTTCTATTTTAATAATTGATGGGTTGCAAGCATTCCCAAGAGAGTCAAAAGACAAAAACATGGGGGCAATGTAAGGATGCTAATGAGAAATCTTTTGTTAAATGGCACCAACATTGCTAGTCATATGAAGTCCTTGTAACGGCCTGGCGTGCCATTACAGTTGCCTTACTGGGGCTAACAAGAAAACTTAACAGTTATTTTAGCCCCCCGGCTCGTCTTTTTTCGAATTGTAATTTTTTAAATCAAAATTATAAATCATAATTGATTATAAACCATAATTTTAGAAAATGACATATCTTAGTTGTCTCAGATGTACTAGAGAGCAATTTAAACTATATTGTATTGTATTGTATTGTATTGTTATTGTATATTGCCACTCAGGCATAAAATGATGATGATTATGATTGTTAGTTATATAATCATTAGTTATCATCAGTTGGTATTAGTTATACAGTCAATGTCAGTAAAGTTGTCCACCAAAAAAGTCAGTTCAGGCTGACGCATACAAGGCAAAGAATACATAATGAAACACGTGATATTACTTTTAGTCTAAATGTCTTAATGTCTAAAAGTCTAAATGTGTAAATGTCTTTTTTCGGTGGACAACGTTAATGACATTGACTGTATGAGCTTAGTACTGTTTCATGGATAGAGTTTTCTACCGAGCTACAGTAGAGTACAAACACTAAAAGTGTGCAACACTTTGCACTATTTAGTAGTAAATAGTGCTAATTAAACAATAGAAAACAATAGGATTAGCATAATTTAGCAGTATTTAGTGGTATTTATGTTACACACTTATAGTGTTTGTACTCTAGTATTAGATTGAGTATGTACGTATATGAAGTTCACTTATGATCTACAATATCTATAGATCTTTAGATCTTACCGAAACCAAAATTGGCTATCAAGTAGAGTATAAATCCATACGTAGCACGTTCAGGTATTGGATTTGGCGAATTTTCGCCCATTAAACCTTAGAGGTTCTAATCAACATCAAAAAATATCAGAAGAAGTTAACACAGGAAGACCAGTTTTATAAGTAGTAAAGCTGCGCCTGCAATATATACTGGTCAGTAAAAAAAACGCGCTTATAGGAGTTGGGTGGGTTTTTTTTGTTTTTTTTTCGGTTAATTTTTAATTCGCAAAATTTGTTTTGTGAATTTTAGAAAGAAAAAAGAAAAATACCTACTTTTTCCAAAAGTAGCTGGTGGCTACTTTTAGAAAAAAAATCAACCTTTTTTTAAGACTTTTTTTTTTTTTAAAGTGAGAGCCATGAATGAAATTTAATGCTGATTCCAAAAATGAAAAGAAAAAATGTGGTGTCTCGAGCTTGTTTTCGAGATCATCAGCACTTATGGGTGCCCACGCGCGAGTTTTTGGAGCAAAAATTGCTCAACCTAAAGTGAACAGAAAAAAATTAAAACTCACAAGATAATAGCTCTTTACAGACTCAATCGATTGCACAAATGCCGGCAAGTGTATCTTTCTACAATTAAACATGGATATCCTTGACAAAAAGACAAAGTAATGCGTTGAGCTGTCATATTTCGTCCTTTTCAGTGCTCAAAAAATCTCATTAAGTCGAACAAAAAGTCCTTAAAAAATCTATTTTTTCGTGTGTTAGAAAAATTAACTTTCTAAAGAATTTGATATAACGTAGATTTTTAGACGTTTCTTCAATTATGCTAGTAAAAATATAGAGTCCAGTGAAAAATTTGAGGGTTTTGCTCTCTTGGAGTTAAAAGCGTGTATGGTTCTTTAATAATAAAATCCATTCTCGTACCCAGAGCCTACGTTTCTTCTAGCCTGCGGCGAAGAACGAGAGCTCTAAAACACAAAACAATAAGCCCAAATCTAAGGGAACACCATGCAATCCTGCGAGTAAAATGAGTGGAAGTTCATATCGGGTTATATAACAGTGTGTTTGTTTCACTTATTCGTAGATATTAATTCGAATTCACTGATATATGTTTGTTTCTAAATAGATACTAAATAGGACTCATTTATCTTAAAAATAAACGTCCTTTACAACCAACGGTCTTTCTGGTTTGAATCAGCTGTACGCTCTGAGTATTTACCGCTGCACTATCCGTGCCAAGCAGCGCCGGCGTCACTTCGTTAGCGATTACCTTCTTTAATGAGTTAACCAAATTTACCTTCGATACATGGAGTAAATGACGTTACACTTGGTCAAAACGCTAGCTACCTAATTGTTTTAAACTTTTGCATAAATGACACAAATATACCAGAGAAAATCTTCTAGTCATTTTTAAAACAAGGAAAGGGCTGGGTTCTAGTTCGAAAATCACACTATATTTGTACTCGCTCCAGATTTTCTCCAGCGATATCTGTACACTACTGAGTTTATTAGTTGTATAATAATATGTGAAAGTATAAAATATACCTCAAAATTCCATTCAAAATAAACTAGTTCTAATGTTCAAGGGCTTTTGAATATTCAAATCGTCTATAGTTAGAAACATTACTTTCTTTGTGGAAAAAGCTAGATCTGTTTACCAGCTTCGAAATACTTTAATATGAAAGATATATGTATATTATTTATATAGGACTATAGTGAACTCTTAAAGTCCACTTTATATTTATTTTTAAAGCAGCGCGTCATACTGTAATAATATTTGAAGGTATTTATTATGTATAAGAGGCAAGAATTCCTGCTGATAAATCGTTTTGATGTTTTGCTATACAATCAATGTGCCATATGACGTGGAGTGTTGTTCTTCAAAAAGCACCTCGCTATTTGTTTCTGTCCAAAGCGGAGTTCTCTATTGCAAAGTTTTTTTCTAAACTTCTATCCTTGAGGTGTATGAGAACTGACTCTAGAAGAAGTCAATGTTCTCAATGAATTTTACACTGGCGTAACACCATTTGCGATATGAAGATAAGTGTTGTTCTTCAAAAACCACCTCGCTATTTATTTCACCTCAAAGCGGAATTCTCTATTGCAAAGTTTTTTCTACACTTCTATCCTTGAGGTGTATGAGTACTGACTCTAGAAGAAGTCATTAGAAAACATTCTTAGAAAGCTTTTTTTATACAGAATTTAACGCTAATTCAAAAAAAAAAAAAAGAAATAAAAATGGGTAGCTTTTTTCCAGATACCGAAAGCAAGTTTTTAATATTAATGTCTCATTTGCGAATGGTATTTAGATAATCAATACTTGAAACCGTAACGTTGGAAACGAAAATAGGAAAAGATTTAAAATTGCAGAAGCTACAAAATAAACGACTATTAGGGGGAGAAATGAGTCCTGCTGAGCCAAACATTATTAATTGGTATATTCACTAACAATATTCTAAATTTTGCATTGAAAATGATAGATAATAAGGCGATCCTCTGTTATATCATTAGTTTGGGTCATGTGAACTGCTGAAGCTGCAAATTTAAAGCCTAAGAAAGTCGTTATACTCTCCAAGAGCTGAAAAAAGCTTTAATAATGAATGAATCATGTTTTTTCGGCTGTAACTTTCCGCTTTAAAACAATTAAATGAATATTGATTAGGACTGAAACACACTGTTGTTTTAAAAATAGAAACAGCTCACCAGAAGATTCAGATCCATATCGATGCCGGTGATTTCTGAGCTGCTCAATCCTTTCTAGACGTAGCTTCGGTTTCCCATTTTGCTTAAAGATGAACTTCCAAGAACGATGTACACTTGCGGCCTTGCTGTTGGTTTTACCTGGCTTTTGTGTCTTGGAGGATATAAGACGTAAGTAATATTAGTATTTTTCCTTATAAGTTTCATCTGCGCGTCTTGTTAAGAAATTCTTTGCTGCATATTAGAAATGCCAAACCTAAGACTACTATCCATTCCATATCCTGACGTTTAGTATGTTTTTAAAATCTATGTATTATATTTTATTATGTCATCGAATATATTGGAATCAGCCTATTTTGATAAATTCTACAACAGGACCAATAGTAAGAGAACTTATGGGATCAAAATGTACTGTTTAAAACATTTTCCATTTTAAAGAGATGTCACGTCACGTCATAGCTCGCAGTCCAGGTGATTGCGAATGACTCTGAACAGTGTCGTCACAACAAATATTGTTATTCTATTAAGTATATTTTTTCGAAATCTTAGCTAAGCAATATTAAGAACTAGTTTATAGTACCCTTTCTCGACTCTTTCGATCACCTGGACTGCGGTATGCCATCTAGCCGCTACAAACGGAGGCGGCTAGATGGCACATGTGTCACTGTACCACATTCTGTTGAGTTTGCTATGTTCTACAAAGCTACAAAGTTTCATGACAAGTTACTGACAAGCTTCAATAAGTATTGATCATGATATGCATGATGTTCTATATCTTATACTATATTATTTATGTTACAGATTTAATATGGGAGCAATGCACAGATGATCTTTTTGAGCCAGAAGTAAATGGAATGGTTCTGCGCAACCATTCGTTCCGCTTGCTTAAAGCAGAATTGCCGATTCTTTGTTTATTTGTTTGTAAATCGAACAAAGACTGTGTTTCGTTCAACATTGCTCCTTCCAATGAAACCGAAGGATGGTTTTCTTGTGAGCTTAATCAGGCCGACAGATATAGTTCCCCACAAGATTTCCAAGAAAGAAAAGGATTCTCGTACAGAGGGATAAAGGTTAGTTACAACTGGTTATTTTTGTATTGCATACTAAGATTTCCGGCTGATCCTTGCACAAATTTTCGAGATTTAATGAACAAAAAAAAGATTGTTCATATGTGTATACGTCGTCGTATATCAAATCACAATTAAGTCATTTAACTCATTCTCAGCTTAGCGCGAGCCAAAGCTAAGTGTGTTATCATGTATATAGTATATATTACCACGAACAATCCTGGAAATTCCCTTTTTCGGTTTTCACGATGCATTTTACTAGTAGAATGGCTTTGTCAGTTTGTATTGATAACATGATACTTTTTGTGTCATAGAATCCATGTTTGAATAATGGTCTTTGCGAAGGAAACAAGACTTGTACACGACTAGGGTACGACCTAACGAAGTACACTTGTCTCTGCCCAAATGGATATTTTGGCCAGAACTGTGAAAAGGGTAAGGAATAATTCATATTAGCAGTAATTAATATATCCATACAATTCAAACGTTTATCAATCCGTGTATTTCTCCTTCTCTCATTCCCTTAATTCCAACGACCTATTCATCCTTCCATCTATTATTCAAACATCCAACTCTCTCCACTCTTTCCATCATCTATCCAGGCGTGCATATAAACAAACACCAGTTTTCAAATATTTTTTCTCTTGTTTTTTCAAGATATTGATGAATGTGCTAGCAGTAATCTGCATAATTGCACACTTGAAAACCCAGGTGTCAAGTGTAATAATACCCCTGGGTCTTTCAAGTGCATTTGTGCAGAAGGATACGTCGGTGATGGAATCAATTGTGCAAGTAAGTATTATTTGATTTATCCTATATGAATCCACTTATCGATCTGTGTGCAAGCATCCAACAACTATTCCTCCTGACCAAGCACCATTAACGCTGTTTACCCATCTCTCCATTTATCTTTTCAGTAATCCATCCATCCGTCTATCCATCCATCTATTCATTCATCCATCCGTCTTTCCGTTGCTATAATTTTAAACCTTAAAGGGAAAAAGCCTTTAAAATTTTGATAGGGCTTTACTTTTGAATAGTTTGAAACAAAACACGTGACCAATTTCAAGTGAAAATATCAATTGTCATTTTTTTTCTTTTTCTTTCTCTTTTTTTTTAGAAAAGACGTCGTGGATCAAAATAAATATAGCTCCTATGTGCATCGGAGTAAAAAACGATGATTATGGGGAGGTTATTGTTCCATTTGATAATAATGTAAAACAATTCAAACTCGTGTATCTCTCGGGGGGAGTCTCCCAGAATAATGACCCTGTAACGGCTCGATACTGGGGAGATAATTCCCTCCCGCAGTGTCTTCGTTTCTTTATTACTGACGAGAAAAACAAAATAATCGCACCTTATCCTGGCTATCCCGAAGGTCGTTCATTATATTTCACCATTGACCACATAACTGTGTCAAGTCCCGAATTAATGTTTCCTACTTCTGATCCTCCTTTGCCACTAAAGAAGGATGATAAACTCAGGGTCTGGTTTACTTTCGATTTGCACAACTATAAGGAAAGTTACACTTACGGTAAAACGTGTGCTGATCTATATATTCAATAATTTCTTTCACAGTTCCCTGCGCCACCTTGAAAGGTAGTCGTGCCTTTGCATCGAAGCGAGACGAACGTTGACCTTGCAATGAAGAAACACATTTTGGACAATTATTCACAGGTCTCTATCATTGCAAGCCCACCGTTCGTCTCGCTTCGATGAAAAAGGCAAGGCTACCTTTCAAGATGGCGCAGGGAAGTGTGAAGGGGACTATTGTAAGTAAAAATACGCTTAAATCCCCCGAAAGGTTTGTCGATCCTAAATACTGAAGAACCCGAGGATGGAAATTTAACGCCATCTTTGTAGGTTCCCGCGTTGGTATCATATACTAAATAACAGTAATCTAGAGTGTATATATGTATACTAACCGTTCGGATTTGTAGAAATGCGTTGTACTGATTATGGGGCTGTTTGAGGAACCCTTCGTCACTCGATTGACATTTTATGCGTCAAAAAAAAAAAAAAAAAAACCAAATAAGTCTCAAAATCAATGCTATAATTAAAGGTTTCTTTCTCTTTTTACTATCAGCAAATGAAAAAGGCGCCATATTAGTAATGATATTAATAATATAGTTCCCTAAGATAACCCCATGGCCATGATGCGACGAGTTCTGCCACTCCGGAACGACTAATACAGTATAACGGAATTTTTTTTATTTGGACAAGACAAGCCAAGGCGTGCTTAAGGTCTTTGCGCAATTTACAAATATTTGTTAATGATTAATCGTAGATTTATAAATACGACAAGTCATCTAATAATGTCATATAATTTTAGCCGCCTGATCCATTTAGCTGACATGTTTATATTTCATTTTCGTTTTCCAATACCGAGTGCAAACAATATAACCGTGAAACTTTAGTAATACTAAATAGCACGAATTTCATGCAAATTCTATTCTTTTCTATTGTTTAACTAGCACTATTTTGTACTATTTAGTAATTAGTGTTTCACGGATTAATTGTTTGCGCTCTAACACATTTTCAGTTGTAAATAGTTGTAATCGTGGTACAAATAAAGCTGTTATTAAGCTTTGTTGTTGCTGTTATTGTTGGCCTTCTGCCCTTGGATGTACGAATTACGCAAAAAACTTGAAATGTTCTACCCTGGAAGCTTCAGGGGAGAGCTTAGTCGTCCCCCAGACCATACCTACAGGTTATCCCTTGCATTCTGTCACGCACAGAATCGGTTGTCAAAAAGTCTAGTTAATCTAGTCAAACTGCAATAAAAATTGTATTCTAAAGATTTCTTCATAAACTTTGTTTGTTCATCTTCCAGAAAATGCATACTTCATGATATACTCAATTTTATGTATACTTTTTTTTTACTTTATTGTGTATACTGTAAAGCGAGCGGGTTATTTAAGTCTTGAGCGTGCTTTTTATCATCTCTTAAATATAACAAAGCAAGTAAAGAAAGAAAGAAATCATTTCTGAACTGGTAAACGCTAAATAGAGCTATTAAAGTTTTGACAGTATTTCTGAAAACAACTTTTTACAAAAACCATTAAATATAGCGAGAAATGTTCTCAATGACTTAACCTTCACCTGAAACAATTAGAACTTTGGACAACAAATCCTGTCATGAGGAAAAGAAAAGAAAAATATTTATAAAACTGTTTTTTGTTTGGGACCTGCCGAATTCGTTTTTAAGTGACTAATGTCACACTTGGTCAAAACCTCTATACTGATCTAATACCACCTTTACCTCACTATGGTAACGCTAGCTATTAACACCAAAAATGACAAAAATATACTAGAAGAAATCTATTAGCCATTTTTAAAACAGGCAAGGGAATAGGTTCTAGTTTGAAAATCACAGGATATTTGTACTCGCCCCAGGTTTTCTCCAGCGATATTTGTACTCTACTGAGTTTAGTTCTATAATAATATGTGAAAATATGAAAAATACCGCGGAAATCCATTCAAAATAAACTTATCCTAATGTCCAAGGTTTTTTTGAATACCAAATTTGTCTATAGTTAGTGATATTTGAAGGTTCCTTCAAATGGTGCCTTTTATCTGTTTACCAGCGTGAAAATACTTTAATATGAAAGATATATGTATATTATTTATATAGGACTATAGTGAACTCTTAAAGTCCACTTCATATTTATTTTTAAAGCAGCGCGTCATACTGCAATAATATTACAATAATACTAAACTTCTCATTGAAGTTTGAAGATATCTATTATGTAAAAATTGCAAGAATTCCTGCTGATAAATCGTTTTCATTGATGCTTTGCTATAACTTTATCAATGTGCCATATGACGTGGAGTGTTGTTCTTCAAAAACCACCTCGCTATTTGTTTCTGCTCAAAGCGGAGTTCTCTATTGCAAAGTTTTTTTCTAAATTTCTATCCTTGAGGTGTATGAGTACTGACTCTAGAAGAAGACATTAGAAAACATTCTTAGAAAGCTGTTTTATACAGAATTTAACGCTAATTCAAAATAAAGAAATATAAGTGGGTAGCTTTTTTCCAGATACCGAAAGCAAGTTTTTAATATTGTCTCATTTGCAAGTGGTATTTAGATAATCAATACTTGAAACCGTAACGTTGGAAACGAAAATAGGAAAAGATTTAAAATTGCAGAAGCTACAAAATAAACGACTATTAGGGGGAGAAATGAGTCCTGCTGAGCCAAACATTATTAATTGGTATATTCACTAACAATATTCTAAATTTTGCATTGAAAATAATAGATAATAAGGCGGTCTTCTGTTATATCATTAGTTTGGGTCATGTGAAGTGCTGAAGCTGCAAATTTAAAGCCTAAGAAAGTCGTCATACTCTCAAAGAGCTGGAAAAAAGTTTTAATAATGAATGAATCTTGTATTTTCGGCTGTAACTTTCCGCTTTAAAACAATTCAATGAATATTGATTAGGACTGAAACACACTGTTGTCTTAAAAAATGGAAACAGCTCACCAGAAGATTCAGATCCATATTGCTGCCGGTAATTTCTGAGCTGCTCAATCCTTTCTAGACGTACTTCGGTTTCCCATTTTGCTTAAAGATGAACTTCCAAGAACGATGTACACTTGCAGCCTTGCTGTTGGTTTTACCTGGCTTTTGTGTCTTGGAGGATATAAGACGTAAGTAATATTAGTATTTTTTCCTTTATAAGTTTCATCTGCGCGTCTTGTTAAGAAATTCTTGGCTGCATATCAGAAGTGCCTTGCCTAAGACTACTATCCATTCCATATCCTAACGTTTAGTATGTTTTTAAAATCTATGTATTATATTTTATTATTTCATCGAGTATATTGGAATCAGCTTATTTTGATAAATTCTACAACAGGACCAATAGTAAGAGAACTTATGGGATCAAAATTTACTCTTTAAAATATTTTCCATTTTAAAGAGATGTCACATCACGTCATAGCTCGCAGTCCAGGTGATTGCGAATGACTCTGAACAGTGTCGTTACAACAAATATTGTTATTTTATTAAGTATATTTTTTCGAAATCTTATCTAAGCAATATTCGGAACTAGTTTATAGTACCTATCCTCGACTCTTTCAATCACCTGGACTGCGAGTATGCCATACTAGCCGCTACAAACGGAGGCGGCTAGATGGCACATGTGTCACTGTACCACATTCTGTTGCGTGTGCTATGTTCTACAAACCTACAAAGTTTCTCATGTGACAAGTTACTGACAAGCTTCAATAAGTATTGATCATGATATGCATGATGTTCTATATCTTATACTATATTATTTATGTTACAGATTTAATATG